GTTACTCAGGGACACAGAATTGTTACTCAGGGACAGACACAGAATTGTTACTGAGGGACACATAATTGTTACTGAGGGACACAGAATTGTTACTCAGGGACAGACACAGAATTGTTACTCAGGGACAGACACAGAATTGTTACTGAGGGACACAGAATTGTTACTCAGGGACACAGAATTGTTACTGAGGGACACAGAATTGTTACTCAGGGACACAGAATTGTTACTCAGGGACACAGAATTGTTACTCAGAATTGGACAGGGACACAGAATTGTTACTCAGGGACAGACACAGAATTGTTACTGAGGGACACAGAATTGTTACTGAGGGACACAGAATTGTTACTCAGAATTGACAGACACAGAATTGTTACTGAGGGACACAGAATTGTTACTCAGGGACACAGAATTGTTACTCAGGGACACAGAATTGTTACTCAGGGACAGACACAGAATTGTTACTGAGGGACACAGAATTGTTACTGAGGGACACAGAATTGTTACTCAGGGACACAGAATTGTTACTCAGGGACAGACACAGAATTGTTACTGAGGGACACAGAATTGTTACTGAGGGACACAGAATTGTTACTCAGGGACACAGAATTGTTACTCAGGGACAGACACAGAATTGTTACTGAGGGACACAGAATTGTTACTGAGGGACACAGAATTGTTACTGAGGGACACAGAATTGTTACTCAGGGACAGACACAGAATTGTTACTCAGGGACAGACACAGAATTGTTACTGAGGGACACAGAATTGTTACTGAGGGACACAGAATTGTTACTCAGGGACACAGAATTGTTACTCAGGGACAGACACAGAATTGTTACTCAGGGACACAGAATTGTTACTCAGGAACACAGAATCGTTGATTAAAGAGTATGTCAGACAACATGCAGAGGAGTGGCAGAGGAGGCAATGTTTTAGGAGCGAGCAGACGTGGCAGCAGAGGAAGGGGTCGAGGCAGCACTAGTCGCAGCCAGAGGCCAGTGCTCCCGGTGTCATCCAGCGGTCGTGTCTCCACCGACAACCCTGCCGTCATCGATTGGTTGGCTCGGTCGTCTTCCTCTTCCCAGGTCACCTCTGACACCTACAGCCAACGGTCGGTGGGTACGTCAGACACAACCGTTAGTTGGCATGGCCCGGGAGCAAGCCCACTGAAATCACGTGTCCTCTACCTGCCCCTGTCCTTTGGTGTTCCCTCACCAAGCGAAGTATCGCATGCTGTGGGCTCAGCCCCACTGTACAGTGAGGAAGAGCTAACAGAGGGCGGTCAGGAACGGGGGGAGACATCCGCCTCTTCAGCAGCCAGGAGAAGAAGTAGTGGCGAGGAGAGTGGCTCGGTAGCCGGTCTAGAGACAGGTCTGTCTCCTGACCCACACGCAGCCGAGGGGGCTAGTAGTGAGGCGGAGACCCTAATTGATGATGATGAGGCTGATCGCACTTGGCAGCCTCGTCGTCATCAGGCTATTGCTTCCGCATCATCAGGAGAAGAGGGTGGCAGCTTGGCAGCGAGCAAAACAGTCGGTGGGTTGCCCAGGAGGCAGCAGGGTCGCAGCAGTGTCAGTGGAGGCAAACGGCCACGGAGTAGAGCACCAGCTCCACTGCAGCCTACCACCACGGCCAGTAGTGGTGCCGGTGTGCACGGAGGAAGTAGCAGTCAGCCAGTGAGGAGTATCGGGGGCAAAGTTTCCTACTCGGCGGTGTGGCAATTTTTCGTCAAGCCGCCCGAGGAAGTAAACGTAGCCGTATGTCGACTATGTGGCCAGAAAGTCAAGCGTGGCCAGGGGGCCCATGTTGGGACTACAGCGTTGCGTCAGCATATGCAGCGTCGCCATTTGGTGGCCTGGGAAAACCGTGATAAAGATACGGCGGTTCTGCCTGCCCCAGCCCCCGCTCCATCACCCGCTCCGTTACTTGCTCCGTCACCCGACGTCAATCGCCCTCTATCAGCCAGTCAAGGCTCCAACACCTCTGCTGAGGGGAGTTGTCGCTCGTTGGCATCTTCCGCTCGTTCAGATGCTCCTTCTCCTGCTACTCCTCTTCACGGATTCCGTCAGCAGTCTTTCTTGGAATCCGTTTCCAAGAGACAACAGTTTGCGAGCACGCACCCGACGGTGCAAAAGCTGAACGTCCTCCTGTCCAAGTTGCTGGTGCTGCAGTCCCTCCCTTTCCAAGTGGTGGACTCAGCACCTTTCCGAGAAATGATGGCTTGTGCCGCGCCGCGGTGGAGAGTGCCAAGCCGTCATTTCTTCGCCAAAAAGGCAGTGCCAGCCCTGCATTCACATGTAGAAGAGATGGTGGGCCAGTCTTTGAGCATGTCGGTCTCTGCCAAAGTGCACGGCAGCGCCGACGTGTGGAGCTGTAACTACGGTCAGGGACAGTACATGTCATTTACGGCCCACTGGGTGAACGTGGTGCCGGCACAGCCGCACCAGCAACTTGGACAGGTCACGCCGCTTTGCCTCCACGTTTGCACGTCCTTGGTCCACAAAAGATGTCCGCCTCTACCACCTCTTCTTCCGCCGTGTCCTCAGCCGCCACCCCCCGTGCCAAGTCCCATTACCCGACCGGCATATCACATGTGCAGGGCGCAACGGTGTCACGCTGTGCTGCACCTGGTATGCCTTGGCGAACGTAGTCACACAGGGGAGGAACTTCTGAGTGTAATGAACAGAGAAATCGACAGATGGCTGTCTCCGCGCAAACTGAAAATCGGAACCATGTTGACCGACAACGGAAAGAACATGGTGTCTGCTCTGCGTCAAGGAAGGTTGTGCCATGCACCATGCATGGCTCACGTGTTCAATCTGGTTGTCAAGCGGTTCCTAAAATCCACCATCCCACTGCAAGACATCCTTAAAATGTCACGTAAACTTTGCATGCATTTCAGCCATTCCTACACCGCAAAGCACACCCTCCTTGAGCTGCAGCGGCAGAACGGAATTCCACAGCATCGCCTGATCTGCGACGTTGCAACAAGGTGGAATTCAACCCTACACATGTTAGACCGCCTTTACGAACAGCGAAAGGCCATCACCGATTTCCTGATGTTACAAGCAGATAAAGGTACTCCCCTGTGTAACTTAGATGTCAGCCATTGACAGCTCATGCGTGACACCTGCCGCTTGCTCAGGCCCTTTGAGGAGGCCACGCTATTCGTGAGTCGGCAGGACTATGGGATGAACGACGTCATTCCTCTGTTGCACGTCCTGGAACAAATGCTGTTAACAATGGCTGGTCAGGGTGCGGTAGACGTGGCGCACAGATCTCAACGCCACATGACCCCTGTGGGGGCAGGACAGGAAGAAGAGGAGGAGGTAGAGGAGGACATTTGTGCTCAGGAATTATTGAGTGAAATGGGTGGTTTTTCCACTCAGCGGACAGAAGTGGAGGAGCAGGAGCATCTGGTAGAGGGAGGAGGAGGAGGAGACAGAGGACCCAGACGCACCGTGGCAGTATGCTGTGGAGATGGAGGCAGGGAGTCCCTCGCATTCCTTGGCACAAATGGCCCATAGCATGCTCGGTTGCTTGCGTAGCGACAGCCGAATAATAACCATCAGACAGAGGGATGACTTTTGGCTGTCCACCTTGTTGGACCCTCGCTACCGTTCAAAAATGGTGGCCTTTTTCACACCTGCTGAGAGGGAGGCCAAAATAACGTACTATAAAAACCACCTATGTAGTCAGTTGGTCTCTGCCTTTCTGCGCCAATGTCCATCCTCAGACACTGTGGGCCCTATGCGCTCACGTTCCGCTGCCATGGCAGCAGGGGAGGGGTGGGGTGGTAGGAGCAGTGGCAGCTCCACCAGCAGCGGCTGCCTCAGTCTGCAGTCGATGATGAGTAGCTTTCTTCACCAGCGCAGTGAGGAAACTACTAACCAGCCGCAGCAGCAGCAGCATCAGGTGGACCTGGAGCAGGACCTCAAACAACAGGCTTGGGCCTACTTGGACAGCACCCTGCCAACCGAGGTAGACAATCCCCTTGACTACTGGGCAACGAAACTTGACCTTTGGCCCCAACTAGCTGAATTTGCCCTTGAAAGGCTGTCATGCCCGGCCAGTAGCGTGGCATCGGAGCGCGTGTTTAGTGCGGCAGGAGGTATTGTAACTCCGTGGAGGACACGACTGTCCACCCAAAGTGTGGAGAGACTCACGTTTGTGAAAATGAATCAGGCGTGGATTAGTCTGGATTTCAAACCACCAGTTCCTGACACAACTGACTAAATCCGCCATGAATCATGCCCCAAACATGTGCCACTTTCAGGTCTCCTCACACTGCTGGTGTGTTCCATTTTTTGTCATAGGGTGCTGGCAGATTACGGGCCTCCCATTGCTGCTGCCAAGCCCGTAATCTGCCATGGGCCCCTGTACCGCCTCCTCATGCTGCTGCCAGGTCCACAGTGTCTCATGGGTCCCTGTACGGCCTCCCATTGCTGCTGTCTCCATCGCCACACTCTGCCATGTGCCACTTTCAGGTCTCCTCACACTGCTGGTGTGTTCCATTTTGTCATAGGGTGCTGGCAGATTACGGGCCTCCCATTGCTGCTGCCAGGCCCGTAATCTGCCATGGGCCCCTGTACCGCCTCCTCATGCTGCTGCCAGGTCCACAGTGTCTCATGGGTCCCTGTACGGCCTCCCATTGCTGCTGTCTCCATCGCCACACTCTGCCATGTGCCACTTTCAGGTCTCCTCACACTGCTGGTGTGTTCCATTTTTTGTCATAGGGTGCTGGCAGATTACGGGCCTCCCACTGCTGCTGCCAGGCCCGTAATCTGCCATGGGCCCCAGTACCGCCTCCTCATACTGCTGCCAGGTCCAGAGTCTCTCATGGGTCCCTGTACGGCCTCCCATTGCTGCTGTCTCCATCGCCACACTCTGCCATGTGCCACTTTCAGGTCTCCTCACACTGCTGGTGTGTTCCATTTTTTGTCATAGGGTGCTGGCAGATTACGGGCCTCCCATTGCTGCTGCCAGGCCCGTAATCTGCCATGGGCCCCTGTACCGCCTCCTCATGCTGCTGCCAGGTCCACAGTGTCTCATGGGTCCCTGTACGGCCTCCCATTGCTGCTGTCTCCATCGCCACACTCTGCCATGTGCCACTTTCAGGTCTCCTCACACTGCTGGTGTGTTCCATTTTGTCATAGGGTTCGGGCAGATTACGGGCCTCCCATTGCTGCTGCCAGGCCCGTAATCTGCCATGGGCCCCAGTACCGCCTCCTCATGCTGCTGCCAGGTCCACAGTGTCTCATGGGTCCCTGTACGGCCTCCCATTGCTGCTGTCTCCATCGCCACACTCTGCCATGTGCCACTTTCAGGTCTCCTCACACTGCTGGTGTGTTCCATTTTTTGTCATAGGGTGCTGGCAGATTACGGGCCTCCCATTGCTGCTGCCAGGCCCGTAATCTGCCATGGGCCCCTGTACCGCCTCTTCATGCTGCTGCCAGGTCCAGAGTGTCTCATGGGTCCCTGTACGGCCTCCCATTGCTGCTGTCTCCATCGCCACACTCTGCCATGTGCCACTTTCAGGTCTCCTCACACTGCTGGTGGGTTCCATTTTTGTCATAGGGTGCTGTATGGCCTCCCATTGCTGCTGCCTCCACCGCCACACTGTGGCTCCACACTCTGGTTTTGGCCCCGTGACTGCCCAAATGAGTGAAGTGTGCGGTGATTCTAAGATCGACGGCACTCATCTGCATGTCATACTGACTGACAGTATTATTTCTCTTCCCCAGCAGACTCCAAGGGCATTTAAATTAAAGGTACAGTGTTCTGCACTAATATGAAGGCTCTCTGAAGCCTAGAAACACCCTTTTATAAGTTAAATTCGCAGCGAATATATTCGCATCGAATCAAATTTATTCCTCGAATTCGCCGAATCAGCCGAATCGAATTTTTGAATACTTCGCTCATCTCTAGTCAGCATGGTCACGCTCTGGCACCGACCACTCAGAACCACTCTGGTCCATATAAGTGTCCCTATGGAAAAAAGAGAAAGAACAGCATGGTTTTCAAACCCAGGACTATTGCATCGGCATGGGTGGACAGTGAAACTCTATCACCCATGGAGGAAAACACAGCAGTAACTGGGGGAGTGGGGAAGGTGTGGGCTGCTAGTTCACCTTTTTATTTTTTCGAAAAAGGTGAACAAACCCTTCAGGCCAACTATATATTATTAAACTGGTATACAGTTGTGACCAAAATTATTCAACCCCCAATGCTGTAAAGGGGTTTAGGGACTATAGTGTACATTTGGAATTGTATTCAGAATCAAATCCTACAAGGACGTTGTAACTACCCAAATGCAACTAAAATGACATCAATTGTTTATGTAATACAGTAGTAAATGGTTCTTATGTGGTTTCTTCATTGCCACAATTATTCAACCCCTTAAAGACTACCACTCTGAAGAACAGAGGTTCATACAGGTGCTTTCCATCAGGTATTGAAAACACCTGTGGATGTCACCGAGCAGCAATCAAGCATAATAAGCACCAATTAGGCAGCTTTAAAATGACTGTGATACTCAGCTCCTTCTAGACATTTACTGGTGTGGTTACAAACATGGTGAAGGCAAGAGAATGGTCCAGGAAGACAAGAGAAGAGGTGATTTCTCTTCACAGGAAGGGCAATGGCTATAAGAAGATTGCAAAGATGTTAAACATACCAAGAGACACCTTAGGAAGCATCATTCGCAAATTCAAGGCAAAGGGCACTGTTGAAACGCTACCTGGTCGTGGCAGAAAGAAGATGCTGACTTCGACTGCTGTGCGCTACCTGAAGCGTAGAGTGGAGAGAAGTCCCCGTGTGACTGCTGAGGAACTGAGAAAAGATTTGTCAGATGTGGGTACAGAAGTTTCAGCCCAGACAATAAGACGCACACTGCGTAATGAAGGCCTCCGTGCCAGAACTCCCAGGCGTACCCCCTTGCTGTCTCCAAAGAATAAGAAGAGTCGACTGCAGTATGCCAAAAGCCATGTGGACAAACCACAAAAGTTGTGGGATAGTGTTCTGTGGACTGATGAAACAAAATTAGAACTGTTTGGGCCCATGGATCAACGCTATGTTTGGAGGAGGAAGAACAAGGCCTATGATGAAAAGAACACCTTGCCTACTGTGAAGCATGGTGGAGGGTCAATCATGCTTTGGGGCTGTTTTGCTTCTGCAGGTACAGGGAAGCTTCAGCGTGTGCAAGGTACCATGAATTCTCTTCAGTACCAGGAGATATTGGATGGAAACGTGATGCAGTCCGTCACACACCTGAGGCTTGGGAGACGTTGGACCTTTCAACAGGACAATGATCCCAAGCATACCTCCAAGTCCACTAGAGCATGGTTGCAGAGGAAAGGCTGGAACATTTTGGAGTGGCCATCGCAGTCACCAGACTTAAATCCGATTGAGAACCTCTGGTGGGACTTAAAGAAAGCAGTTGCAGTGCGCAAGCCTAAGAATGTGACTGAACTGGAGGCCTTTGCCCATGAAGAATGGGCGAAGATACCCGTAGATCGCTGCAAGACACTTGTGTCAAGCTATGCTTCACGTTTAAAAGCTGTTATAACTGTAAAAGGATGCTGTACTAAGTACTAAGATTGAATGTCACTTGGGGGTTGAATAAAAACTGATAATGCTGTGAGCACAGAAAAGACATTTGTGGTTATTTCATTATAACTGTTATGTTATATTTGTCTGACCTACAAGTGCCTCTTTAATGTAAATGTAAGCAAGATGACTGAATGATCAAAAGCAATGTCAAACTGGCCAAAACACTCAATTTCAGTGGGGGTTGAATAATTTTGGTCACAACTGTATGTGCTATTAATTCAATACTTGGAATCATGAATCCCATTAATGGTGCCCATCATGAATTGTTTAACTTGGCTTGGAAATCTCTGTCACATTTATTCAGTAACATAGACACAGGGATCATTTCATTGGTGGCTTGAAACTGCTGTTCTGGCCATTGTAGAAAGGAAGCGCAAACATGAAATCTTTCAACCCAACTGACAGAAATGCCTGTCCATATATCGTTGGCTTGACAGGTTATAGAGCCATTTGCTACTTTTCAGGACCACAGTGCTTTAATACTAAATTTCTTCAAATGTTTCAATAAATAGAGAACTGTAAAAATTATAATTACTACACAATCCATATTTCATCTGCTGTTAAAAAAAAAAACCTTAAGTCATTAAACATGAAAAGTGGATGGAACACTGAGAGTATTTCAACATTTATAATTACAATTTTTTTTGTTAAGAGCTGCATTTATCTTAATTGAAGCAGCTGTAAAGGAACCAGTGTGACATGTCCCTGCAAGACGTCATATAGTGAAATATTGCTAGAGTAGTCTTGCCACAAAGTTTCTAAATATTGCTCATTCCAGAAACTTCTGCTGCTGTAATGGACAGCAAGATAGTGCCAGACCTCATTTAATAAGGCATTAAAAATAGAAATCACTTTTTTAACCTGTTTCTCTGCTGATGGAGATGCAACTGTCCTTTGGCTACCCAAATCTGGGATCATCCGATGCCAAATTTAGTCCAAGAGAAGCAGAACCTCCCCTAGTGCAACACAATTATGCTCTTAGGCTGGAACCCAACAAAAACTAAAACTGTCTATATGAGGTGCAACTTCAGCTGTCAGGAATGGACTTGCCAATAATGGTGGGAATCACCTGCCTTGTGGGCTGCAGTACCAGGGTTGGCCAGCGGGTGCTCTCAGCAATCAGAGACTCACCCTTGCAGTCAGCCAAACACCTGAAGCTGATTGCAGGGGTTGTATTTAAGGAATGGCCAGACTCACAGTCAGGGCCTTGGTGTGTGTTTTTCCATGGGCCCCTGTATCTTGTATCCTGTGTTCCTGTTCCTGCCTGACTTGTTGCAGACCCTGCCTGATCCTGACCTCTGCTGACTTCTCCTGTTTGATCCCTGGCTTGTGACCCTGACCATTCTCTGCCTGACCCTCTGCACCGCGCTGCCCGTGAGTTACTGAACCCAGCTTGTGACCCCGACCACTCTCCCGCCTGTTCCTGGTACGCCGTTTGCCCGTTTGCTACTGACCCGGCCTGCCTGATGACTCTTGCATTGTATGTATTGTTATCTGTAGGTGGTTTGGTTTGGTTTGTTTGCACTGTGTTTATGTTTAGTTTTGCACTGCGTTTTGTATTGTTAGTCTAATTAAATCATATTGTTTATACCATATCTGAAGCCTGCGTTTCCCTGTGTCAGTCCACACACCTCTGGTCATACCCGGAGCCCTGACATCAGCTCTGGTCTCCAAAACTTGACCTATGGGTTTGTCTCCCAAAAAAGTTGGTGACGATATTGCGAAGGTATCCGGTGACTGGTAGGGCTTGAGAATCAAATTAACCAAGACAGACCCAGCTTGAGATTCTGACTCCACATGACAGAAAGAAGCTGAAGAACCTTAAACACAACAGTAGTATCACTTGTGATGAGGTTGTCAGGGTTGTTCATCAGGTGAGGAATTGTTGCCTGGCCAGAGAATTATCTGGGACGATCAAGGAATTCCTAGGCTTCCTGTTGTGCTTACAGGACAAGAATCAAAGGCAAACATACCCAATGGGGCACATTGTTAAAAAAGAGAGGACCTGCAAAGGGTATAACCATTCCCTTCCCCGGCCAAAGCTAAACAAGATTTTGGTTATAAAGTTAAATACAATTAATAAAGGAATAAAACAGATTCTTTTAAAAACTCATCATTTTTAAAGTTTAATGACACCCACAAAGTACATTTGGGGAAGACAGGTAACCTAAGTTGGCCATAAGTATGAGGTAATGTCTACAGCAGTAGTACTGATGGTTTAGAACTGTCCAGCCTGCAGCATTTGGTCCCAATGGCCCTTGATTTACACGAGGAAGGTAGGGTGTTATACTGGTTCATAATGAGACATATATAATGCATCTTCAAGATCTATGCTTTCCCCTCCCTGTACGAATGAAGTGTAGTGGCTAGTAAAGGTTGGAGGAATGAAGCTGCACCATGGTTATTAGGGGATGAGGACACTGAGAGCAAGCTGGTTCTAAATCAGTAGTTGTACTGCTGCAGGTATTGTCTTTTGTATGAATATTCACATTTTTCTTTTTATTTCCCCAAAGGTACATGGTATATGGACCAAAAGAAGGTGGACGCCACTGCACCTTATTGAGATCAAATGTTTCCAGAGAAGCTCATTGTTAATGCTTGCAAAGAAACTTAGAAAATGATGAGCTTCTAACCTTGTGGTAACAGTTTGATGAAAGCCCAGTATGACTGTGCACCTATGTATAAAGCCAACTCTATAAAGACATGGTTTGATGAGCTTGTTGTGGAGGAATTCAAACATCCTAACCAGGGGCGGACTGACCATTTGGAAACTCGGGCACTGCCCGAGGGCCCGGGGTCAGTAGGGGGCCCCATGAGATGCCCCTGGTACCTTTTTCATAGGCTTTTTTGAGTTTGGGCAAGGACACAGGGGCCCCATGATCCCCTATTGCTGGGGGGCCCCATGAGTTGTCAGTCCGCCCCTGATCCTAACCTCAACCCTACTGAACAACCTTTGGGATGAATTTGAACGCCATTTGTGAGCCAGGTTTCAGCTTAAAATAACTTTATAAAATTTTAATGATAAAAATATAGCAAACAAAAAGGCAAAATGTTAGCAAAAAAAAAGAAAAAATTATAAAAACTAAAACTTTTGCATTTTTGAACTTATACAGAATTCCTTACTTATGAGTATATCGTTTGCACCCCTCCATATATTGGAAAATGACAACCCCCTTCAGCTATA